CTATTTCTTTTGCCCTCCGAACAAAAAAGCAATATTTCAGTCTTATTGGGATTAATCTTCAAGTTGTGCTCCCTTGAAAATTTTACTACATTTGACAAGTCCAAATTCAAGAGCTCCGGGGCCCGCTTCGGATAATCAGGATCAAAACTAAACAACAATTGTGTGTCGTCTGCATATGACTGAATATGAGAAAATGAAGCACTTGAGAACATATCTGCAACGACCCCAATATAGACCCCTGGGGTACCCCTAAGACAACACTTTTTGGCTGAGAGATGTTTCCATGCAACCTGACAAACTGTCGACGATTTCTCAAATAGCTCCCAAAAAAAGAACAAGCCCTCTCATCGAACCCATAAAAAGATAATTTGGCACACATTAGATCATGGTCTATAACATCGAACGCTTTAGAGTAATCTAACAAAACCAAAATAGCAGCCATCTTTTTATCGAGTATTTTTACAATATTATCGGTAATATTCAAGAGAGCTGTGGTTGTGCTGTGACCCCCCCCGAAAGCCTGATTGGTGTCTTACTCTAATCGTTTTAATTGGTGCAAATATGTCACAACTGCTTTACATTCTGGGTAAAAAATTCTACTTTGTCTTCAATATCATGGATGTAGTACAAATCATCCCAATGTATTTCTGACAAAATATTTAAAAAAGAATTTTCATCAAAATTTTTATAATCTCTCACTGTCAATTATTGCACAAGAAAGGACTTAAATCTATACTGCTAATATTACTTCGAAAAGCATCCCCATCAATTTGCCTGAAACTTCGGTATTGTTAACTATTACAGGATATTATGACAAAAACTGCTTCATGATCTAATTTAACGGAATCTGTGACAATGAACCCACCGTCACATGTATCACTTAGGGCCATATTCTCCGTAGTTCATAAAGCCTGGCTTAATGGAAACGCTTGGCTTTTTGTGTGACAAAGCCGAGCTTTTTCACTAAGCGAGGCCGGCTTTATAAACTACGGAGAATATGGCCCTTACTAGTACTAAGTCGAGAGCTTTTTGAGACCCCTGAGTAATTCTTGTCGGGTCTCTATCAACTGGTTTAACCCAAATGACATAAAAAAAATTTGTATCTGGAGACAGTTGATCTGTGTTTAATGTATATATTGTGGGACTTGGGGGTTATGAGGGGGTGAGAATCAAAACTAGAGCCAACTACATAAATAGGAAAATGTATTAAAATAAAGCTTACCAAAAATACATGCAGTTATGGGCAAGGGCACTGGCACTTATAATTATCACAGGACTAATAGGCATTATTACAGTAGTAGACACCCTCGTCATCTCCCAAAAACCATTATTTTATATTAATCAAGCGACCACGATGCGTAATCGCTGATTATAACCATGACCAGTGAACTGTCGTTGACATTGACCTTCCATGGATTTAGGTTCCTTGTACAAATTAATAATTCAATGATTGGTTCAACTTGCAATCGAATGTTGATCAATGCTTTTCCTGAAATCCATGAACCTTTTTTGGAAGACGATTGGGTTTAACTAACTGAAGAGAGATGCCTTATTATCCTAGATACGACCAATCATGTGCTAGTAGTGCCTCTGGTATTGAGTCATATAATAGACATTCAAATGTTCCATAGGGTATAGATGGAGGCCTATACAGGGTGTTCCGAAATTAATGGACCAAATTTTTATGGCATATTCTACGTCAAAAATGAGCCTTAGTTACCTATATAAACATATGTCCGGAAACGCTTTTTTTATCATAATTCATACCATTTTGGAATTTTGTACACTGTTTTCAGGCAGCATAAGACATTTTCTGATGTGAAATATTTTAATAAAAAAAATACCAGTGAAGTTACAAAACTAATTTGAAACTTTAGGTGTTTAATGTTTAACATTTTCATCATAATTTTGGCAATTTCGTCATGAATCAAAATGGTTTTTTATTTTTTTACTTTGAAACGGTGCATTTTTCGGAAAAAAGTGAAAAGATCAAATTTGTTCTAAATTGAATGGGGATTTCAAAAATGATTTTTATTTTAGGAAAAAGCAGTGACGCACCATTTTTTTCTTGAAAAATATTTCTTACAAATCTGGTAGGACGTCACTGGTAATTTTAAAAAATATATTTTCACATCAAAAAATGTCTTTTCCTGCTTGAAAGCAATGTACAAAATTTCAATGAAATATCTAGAGTGGTTTGAAACCTATGATAAAAACATAGTTTTTTTCTTAGAATTTCAACACCCGGTATCTGGGAAAGCAAGCGTTTCTGGACATATGTTTATATAGGTAACTGGGGTTTATTTTCGATGTGGAATATGCCATAGCAATTTGGTGCATTAATTTCGGAACACCCTGTCGATTATGCCAAGAGCACATGCTACTTTCTCAATGTTGATCTTCAACCACAACTGTTCAACCGTCTCGTTTGTGGTGGTGATGTCCAATACACAAGCTCTAAAGAAGGTAGCTACATAAAATGCTATTCCTCCGCCAATCCTTGATCTGCAGCGGGAGAAAAACTTGAAGCCTTTTATGTTGAAGTGAGCAGTATCCGTTTGTTTGGGGATCCAAGTCTCTGTGATGGCTATAATTTGCGCTCTAGAATTTTCTATAAAGCACTTGAACACTTAAATTACACACTAGCAAAATCTGCAGATTAGACAATTTGTTGCACATGGACTTTGGGTTTATATGAACTATTTTGACTTGGTTCAATGTGTTATTTTTAGGTCTGTTTCTGCAGAAACCACAAACCAGTCGGAGCGAATTTCATTGGTTGAAAACAGTCAGAAAACTAGTTTCAACCAATGAAATTCACTCTGACTGGTTTGTGATTTCTGCAGAAACAGACCTATTATTACTAGGCTGACAACTGCTATTTGCTATTCATATCTGTGCTGTGCTCAAAAAATTGCTTTGTCCGAAAAAATTTATAAGGCTCTACAATAATGCCTGTGTGCCAAGTTTCAGCATTATAACTCATTTCTAAGGTTAATATCTACCATGACCTTGAAATATTTACATTTTCTTTTGCTGATATTAGTATTTAGTTCTACGCATTGTAGAAGTCATATTCATTTTATTATTCAAATATGTCTGTAAGCTATTGGTGTCAGTGTTCATCGAGAATAGAGATGCAAAAATAACCGCCTGCTTTTCTTTCACGACAGCCTGTATATCTCCAGCATTTTTTGCTCCTACAATCTCAACTCTACTAGGTTTCTTCCGTGCTACAGGTTGATTTTGTCTCTGGACTGCTGGTTAATTTTTGTAAGTTGAGAAACGAGGGATGAAAGGTTGCTCTGATCTAGCAGCCGATACTTCACTGGATTCTGTAGTGTGACCCTTCAAGGGCATATGTTGAGGAACTCCTTGAGATGATTCATCATTTCTTGGCATGAGACCCGCATTTCCCATTGGTTCATGTATTGGAGTCATCTGAATCTTTCACCTGATCTTTGAGGCATTTTTGGCAGTTTGGGCCACTGATCTCTGGATAAACGAAGAATGTCTCTAATGCTGCTAATTCACAAGGTCATAATGTAAACAACTGGGACAGCTGTGAGCGTGCGCAGTAGATACATAATGATATGCTTGTGCAAAATATTATCAATGAAAATGAAGGATATTTCAAAATTTAGAACAGTCATTCGAAAGATAAGACACTGCGCAGGCCTTAGGCTATTCCGTTGCACAACTGTTCGTAGAATATTGTTTGTTCATTTATTTTTGAGATCAGTGGTTTGGACAGATGAACATTAACCATTAACCCTCTTGTTTTGCTTGGCACACAGCGAACTTCTTGGGCTTATAAGTTAGTGCATGTCCGACACACTTATTTTACTGCATATATTACAGTTAAAACCAAAAATAGCAGGTAAGTTGATATCCCTGCCCGTTTGCGATTTTACTAAATATAAACTATTACAGCACAAGACACGCCTCCAACTTCGTCATTGCAAAATATAATCGGTCTCAGCGCGATTTTACTATTAGAGCACCAAGAGACGTTAGCATTGCAAAATATAATCGAGCTCAGCACAATCCTGCAAAATCTAATCGTTGACAGCACAAAGTGGCTGATTCATATAAATGGGGCGCCCACTTTGAATTCTCTTTCCTCCCATTTTAACATATTGTATCTTCCTTCTACTGCTAGCAGTCGGCTGACTTTTATTAGTTTTCCTTTATTTTATTTATTTATTTATTATTATTAAAGCTGTTGTGATGGCACATAGAGGAAAGGCGCCTTAGGATACTGCCTAATATTGCATACCTACCTATTTTAATAACGTGAATGTATATGTCCTTCTCCTAGTAACCAGAAGCGTTCCACCTTAAAACCCCACTAATAAGTTTGCAGAGTTCTATAATAGACTATGTTGACATAAACGACATTTAAATGGAATGTGTGTGTTTGAAAATTATTTGCTCTCTAGTTTAAGTGCTGAATTATCAGTTTAAGGGGAAACATTTTAAATATTTCTTAATGGGAGCACTAACAATAATAATGACCTTCTAACAACAAGTACAATTTGAGGTTAGATCCGCCATTAACGATTAAATTTTGCAGGAATGTGCTTAGCGCGATTATATTTTGCAATTACGTCAAGGGCTAGCGTCTCATGTGCTCTAATAGTTTATATTTAGTAAAATCGCGCTGAGAGCGATTATATTTTGCGATGACTAAGTTGGGGGCGTGTCTTGTGCTGTAATAGTTTATATTTAGTAAAATCGCTGGCCGTTTGGCACTCTACAGAACACAACTAACATTCCATCTTAAGATGAATTTTATTCATAGGATCCAATATTACCTACTTATGTTTTTAGTTTTCACCACTTTACTTTTACAAATTTATCAATGATGTATGTATAAAAAATGTATAAAATGATTCATAAAAATTAAAGTCGTTTTATTATGGTCCATTACCACAAGATACAAATTTAATACAGAATACTATATCCGCATTCCAAAACTTTTTTTGTATAATTTTCAGATGTTGGACGAAATTTTTTCCAATTCCCTTTGAGAGGGCCTCTCAAAAATCCTGGTGGGATCCAACTTTTGACTCGGAAATACTCGAAGATCAGTACAAAAAAAGCGCTTTTCCGCACAACAGATTCAAATTCAGGTAAAACGATAATCCAAATCACCAATCAGGACAAACAACAAACTACAAACTCTTAACCATCAAATTAACAATAATTTTTTGTTTATTTTTCAGATACGCCATTTGTTATACAATTTTTATATCAGCGATATTATTATTCTACACTTCGTACAAAGGATTTTTTGTACATCACAAAACTGAATTTTCCTCTATACTCTTCCTTATACTCCTTTTGTACAACATATTTATGTTACTTTTAACGTATACCACAATCTTTCAAAGACATTTCTACGTAATTTCGGTATTATACGCCATCAGTTCGGTCAGTTTCAGTCTGACCCTACTGATCGTGACGCACAAAGGCTCCTTTTGCAATTGCATCCAGTTGTTGATATTAATTTACACTTTGATACCCATGAAGCTTTACATGGCCTTAACTTTGACCATTATTTATTCGATTGCATTCGAAATACTTGCCAGCATGTGGACTGAAACGTTTATAACGGTTTTTACAAAGATTCTAAGCCACGTGGCCGTACACATTATAGGGTTGCACATTTATTTGATGAGCAATGTGCGAATGAGGCAAACTTTCATGAAAGTCGGACAAAGTTTGCTAGTTCGTAGACAATTAGAGCTGGAAAAGAGGCTGAAAGAAAACATGATTCATTCGTTGATGCCTCCCAGTGTGGCTCATTGGCTTTTGTATGAAAACATCGAAACGAGACGTCCTTCGGGGGACTCAATGGAAAACAACGACCTAAAATCTTTATTCAGGCCCTTCAACATGGACACCATGAATAATGTTAGTATTTTATTTGCGGACATTGTGGGGTTTACTAAAATGTCGTCAAACAAAAGCGCTGAAGAATTGGTTGAGATACTCAACAACTTATTTCAACGTTTTGATGACCTTTGCAAAAATAATTATTGTGAAAAAATCTCCACTTTGGGTGACTGTTACTATTGTGTATCGGGTTGTCCTAAGCCTCAACCAGACCACGCCCTGAATTGTGTAGAAATGGGATTGAGCATGATCGAAGCAATCAAGCATTTTGAACAAGAAAAACATGAAGGCATCAATATGAGAGTGGGCATTCATACTGGGACAGTCTTGTGCGGAATTGTAGGCACCAGACGGTTCAAATTTGACGTTTGGAGTAACGATGTTAGTTTGGCCAATAAAATGGAGAGTACGGGCAAACCCGGGATGGTTCATATATCCGAGAAGACTTGCATGTTTTTGAATGGGAGGTATTTTTTGGAGGAGGGAGAATGTGTGTTAGGTAAGTATATTATGAGAATTTTATATGTGTTATCAAAATGACAATAAAACTGTTTTAGGCATAAATACCTACTTCATTGTCGGTCGTAAGCCGGACAATTACCACGGCAGTTTTCGGGCCGAAGGCAGACAAAAATACTCCAACTCGTTGCACTTGTTTGTGTCTCCGCCTTCTTCGACTGTGTCGCTGTCGCCTCATTCCAGGCCTCGCGTGTTGTCTTGTGACACTACACACTTGAAAACGCCTCAAAATCGTAATTTCTTGTCGCCGGATTCTTGTATTATGAAAGCGAGCAGTTTACCCAGTATTTTAGGTAAGAACTTTAGTTGGTAATCCAACTGTGGTCATAATTCCAAAGTTGACTATGTACTGGAAACTTACAACATATTTTACATTTGTATTTGAGAAATTATTCAAAACATATTTCAATTAAAAATTCGCTTGTGACTAATAATTCTTTTCAGACTCGGAAAACGAACAAGATCCACCAGAGGGTTCGACAAAAATCGAGCAATCGATTAAAACGCCCACATCAACCGCCAGTTCGGGCAAGTACAAATTCAAAAACTGGAAAATCCCAAAGTTTATCCAGCCCCATCGTAAAACCAGCACCGCTAGCAGTAAACCGGACATCGATATCGACTTTGTCTCTGGAGCTACGGACATAAGCGAAGAAGGCGGATATCAGCAAGTGCCTACCATTATAGAATCGAACGGAATCAAAAAGAAGGATTCCGTAACTACCCTGACATCGAATAATTATAAGTACGAGGAGCCAGACAATAGTATCGATATAAAGTCGTACATTAGTCATTCGAGGAGCGATATTGGGGCTTTCGACTTTTCCCCCACTCCTGAATTCACTAGAGGAGGTAACTAATCAAATATCACATTAAAATAATCATAAATTGACATTTTGCCTCTTAGGAAGCTACAAAAGTCAATTTGGTCGCTCTTTGAACGGCGACTTCGCGGTGTTGAATCGTGCAGGTAGTAACCGGTCTAGACGCGGCAGATCGCCCAACTTGGAAAGTCTGGTACCTTTGGAAAGAGCACGCAGCGCCACAGTGACGGACGGCAATTTGGTGCGACACAAACGGTCGTTTGAGGTACCCAGTAGATTGTCCAGCATTGCGATGCTGGATGACTATTCCAGCCACAGCAGGAAGGATTCAGGAATTAGGAGTAACAGTCGGAGGAGTAGTTTACAGGTATTATACTTATTATCAGTCAGATCCAAATTGTTTTATCTTTATTCTTGGGGATTTTTTTTAACGGTTTATACGGCAGTAGCTTGCCCATGAGTTACACAAGGGAGTGCCTTTATTTTTGAATCAGGGACTGTGCACGCATTCACAGTTCATAGAATCCATTTGGCCTGAACTGTAGATGCAGTAGTAGTCTGCAAATACTAAAGTCTCAATTTCCTACGTGTATTGACAATTTAGCTCGTTGCTTTCCCTTTACAGTCTTATAGCAAAATTTTAAATCGTACGATTAGTTTTTGACATATCGGTGTTTAAAAATAAGCATATTTTTAAAACTACCTAGTAATTTTGACTATCTATCTCTTAGACAAGAGAATTCAATCCTAAAAGTGTCAAATACACATCAGAGAAACCAAATGTGTTTATTGCCTAACCCCTACCCTTTCTGTCTTGGAGGCTTGCCACTATGAGAAATGAGAAACTACCTCCTTTGAAAGGTTTTTTCATTCCTCTTTAAAGGCGTGACCATTTCATTTCAGCTACAATATAGAACATGATCACTTGACTCTTCTTCAAAACCACAATAAAAACCCATTAGGCTGAATTCACTTGAAACCACGTTGTGCAGCTGACACCCAACAACAAATCATAATTCAACGATTTCTCGCCGGCATTTGGTAGTGCCCCACTGCTACACTTACCTTTAATAGTATAATCGTGTAACAAATGAGATCTTAACCTATTATGGCGTACGGCTTCCCCGGGGGACACCAATTACCAAAAAGAAATAATTGAACCATGATTTGTTGCCCTGGATATCAGTGAAATGCAACTTCAATTGTTAAGAGGAAGTTATTGGAAACATCTACAGCCAAATGCTTAAAGTTTAATACCAAACATGCTCAACTAGAAGTAGCTTACCAAAATTCTGATTTGAAGAGCTGATCATAGCTTAGGTAAGTAATAATTATTTTTTTATTAGCTAATTCCTCCACAATAGTCTACTGCTAAATGACGAATATAAAAATAGATAAGAAGAGAGATATATTAGCTTGTTTACATTACCCTGGTCCCTTTTTTTGATGTGATGATTCATCAATAGGGAACTTGACAAAAAATTTAAACATGAAAATATTACTATAAATCATAAGAATACATTAATTAAAACCTATATCAGCGAAAAAAACCATTTTTTTTTGGCGCAAACGGCCACAATAAGGAATTGAAAATGCGGAAAAATTCAAATTATTTCTAGCGGGAAAAAACGCTCTGGTACTGGTCGTGACGTCATGTAGTATGATCTGTCAGTGTCTGTCAGCAACCATCCATCATACTGTGAGTTCGTCTTGAAACACGGAGCGCTCGTAGCATTTTCCGTCTTTTTTCCTTATGATGAGAAGAACAGGGATAAAAGAACAAAATAGCAACTCCAAGAGTTTACTCGAACTCTACATAATAAATACCCGTTAGCTGTATTTATTTACGTTTTTCTCTGATTTTTTAAAATTTTATCATTATTAAAGTTGGTTTACTTAGTTTAAATTCAATGATTAGCTCATTATTATATAAATAAAACGATATACCTATTAATTATGACCGAAGAAGGAAATTCCAAAGGCCAATTCGCCAATCTGTAATTTGTGATATGTTTATAGTAGCAAAAGTAAGTATGTGCGAATCTTTTTTTCCATTATAACTTAAAAATTTACAGCTCGCCGCAACCCAAAACAACAACAAAACAAATAACGGTGGAAAATGTGGAAGTCAACCAAATTAAATACAATGAATTGAAATATAAAGATGTTTTGTGATATAAAGTTTGACGACAAGGTGACGCAAAATCCAAAATTATACTACGTGACGTCATCCAGATTCGCGCGCATTTAAAGTCGTTTGAAATGCTTTTAATACGCGCGAAACTTTAAAAAATTTTCACCAAGTTATTATTGAGTTTTAGGGCATAATATTTGGGGAATACTCTTTCAAGGCATAAATAAATGATTTAAAAAAATAAAAAAAAATTTGTAAAGTTCCCTATTTAGGTAAAATAATATTGAGATAAATAAATCCTTTCATCTTTAAGCACGGTCTACACGCAACCATGTATCGTCAGATTTGCATGCGCCAATAAATCCTACAGATAAATCGTAACTAACTCGGGTCATATTGGGTTTCACATGGTAACTTTTGAACCTGTTGGTTCATGTCATGGTCACATAAACGTCCACTACGTGACGTCCGAAACAAGTCATATTTTGCAACCTCTTTCCGACGACAAATTTTGGTTATTCGACGTAAATCTATTAAAAATCGACGTCATAACGACTAATTTTTGCTGCTTGGGATGTTGGTTGGAATAGGAAAAAAGACCTGTTGGAAAACATCCTCCAGCATTTTAAATGTTTGAATGGATTTGGATCAGACGACTTTTTCGCAGATCTGTTTTTGTATTAAAATTGTATTCGCTAACATCCAATGTTCTCTATTTTAGGCCCAGTTTATTCATCTTGAGATAAACTTGCTGGTAACTATGTGCAAGATAAATTTACAGTTCTATCCTGTTGGTCACTCACTGGATAATTGGTTGACCAATGGAATTACATATTAAGTTTATATCTGTCAGATTGCGTTACCTGACAGTTTATTACACAGTAAATTGGCTCTTATGTATCAAGAGGCTCTTGAAGAGCCGGGAATAGACAAAAATTTTGAGAATTGAAAGGCAGACATTAAGGGAAAATCGAGTAGATAAGTAGACTTAAGTACCTATATGTTGTTTCTATTCCAGGCTTTTGAATTTTTTCTATGTAGACATATTTAGAAGAAACAATTCAAGAGCCGGTAATAGACAAAAATTGAGACGGAAAAATTCAGAAATTGAGAGGAGAAATTTAAGGAAAATTTCTAGAAAGCAGAAGTATCTGTGAGAAGAAAACAATCATTTGACTATTTCACAGATTCAATGGGTTTGCCTAGGTATTCTCTGATATAAAGTGAAAGCTTAAGCTTTCACAGATAGTTCAGAGTGGAAAGATTGTCTAAATAACCTTGGGAGTTATCTATAGACCTCCAGACTATCATTACCAAGATTTTGTTGATTTACTTGACAATGTTCTGTAATAAACCAAAAACTTATATCTTAGAGGACTTCTGACCATCCTATAAGTGATTATAGAGTGCACCTCTTACAAACTAGAAGTTATCCAGCTAAGACTCAAAATGAATACTCAAGGACCATTCCAAATAAGTCTGAAATTCAACTTGGTGATCTCAATAGTTGCGAGTGGAATGACCCTGATACTTGATACATTGTATGATGAAATAATCAGAATTTACTCAAATAACATCACAATAAAAACATTCAAAGACAGATTTCGCAAGAAAAGTGCCCCTAGGTTTACAAAAGATTCCCAAACAGTGAATTTCTGCGTGAGGCTTACAAAACAGCCCAAAGCATCCTAAGGCAGGAAGTGAATAATGTAAAAAAAAGTATATATACCAGTATGAAGACTCTTAAAGAATTTAAGAATGAATTCGTCCCAATTTTATGCAGACTTGCTAATTTAAAAATTACCACCACCAGCATACCAAATTCACTGAAGAGGGCCAAAATAGTATCACTTTTCAAAACCGGAGATACTAAAATACCAAGTAACTATTGACTAATCTGTATCCTTCCCGCACTGTCCAAAATATTGGAAGCCTGTGTCAACGATCAACTTGTGCACTTCCTTGAATCATCTAATGCCTTTTTCAAACAGTAATATGGTTTCAGGAAAAACTCAAGTACAATTCCGGCAGTTACAGATCTAGTCACCAATATCTATTCAAGGGTAGACAAGGGTAATAGCTGTGTTTTTGTTTCACTGGATCTTCAAAAAGCTTTTGATACTGTTGATCACAGTATATTAATATCAGTATTAGATCAGAATGGCGTGACAGGAATGGCACTAGCTTGATTGAGGGAATACTTATTGGGTAGAATACAACAAGTGATTGTTAATAATACACTAAGCACTCAAGCTGACGTCAAATGTGAAGTACCACAAGGATCTATCCTAGGACCGACTCTCTTCTTGGTATACTCTATAACAAAACTTACTCTAACATCTGCCATATATTTGTACGCAGACGACACCTGCCTGGTATACTCTGGAAGAGCAACCATAGAACAAGATCTAACAACCATTAATAAATGGCTATGTTTCCACAAACTCTCACTTAACTCGAAAAAATGTAGCTATATGATTACCCTAAATCTAGACCAATTCAACTTCAAGAAAGAAATGTGTAACAAGTCTCTTGGTTTACTCATCGATCATAGGCTTACATGGTAACCTCACATATCCAGAGTCTGCAAAAATATAGCACCCGCTGTAGGGATTCTTGGTAGAGTTGATTCACTTTCATTTATCATATCTCACCTTAATTTGGGGCAATAAGTACCTCAAACATCCATCTCAAACCCCTCATGGTTTTACAAAACAGAGCTATAAAGAAAATATTCCAGCTTCCATTGCTGTATCCAACAACCTTTATTACATCCTAAGTGTAAAGTTCCTGTACATCTTTCAAATATGTACTTTTATCCACAACTGCATAATATCAAATATTCACTCCAACCTTACTTTCACCACCAGACAAAGAAATATCGTAAGACCAGAAGCGATGAGAACAACTGGAGGACAGAGAAGTTTGTTTTTTCCAGGGCCTTGCTTACTACAACAGACTTCTTAATGTACTCAGAGACTGCCCAAGAGGTGCTGCCTTCAAGAAGGAGTTAAAGTCTCTACTATTTAATTTTTTTTTTGAATAATCGAGGACTCAAATGTGTATTTTATATAATATGTATTTTTTTTTTTTTTTTTGTCTGCAAGGTCTTTTGCGATTAATGTTAAACTTTTAACTAATTCCTAGCCTCTTAAGTAATGAATTCTAAACTTGTAAGACCTAAAAAGCTCTAAGCTACAGGTCTAATAATAATTTAAGTACCTACTTATTTATATATTTTCTCTCTCTCTCTGGTTCTTATTTTTTTCTGAAAATAAAAAAAAAACTTCCAGATGAAGATGAGATTGATCAATCCGCCGCAAACTGTGTGAACCAGGGATGAGGTCAAAACCCTAAGGAATCCAGAGGTCTGAAAAGTGAATAAGGACAAGCCTAGAAAGGCTGTAATGACCTTAACTATCATGACTTTTTCCTTTCTGGGACTGGAACACTTTTAATAGTAGACATAATGAGTATGCTATTATTTCCTATTTCAGGCTTTTGAATTTTCTCTGTTTGGAGGTATTCCGGAGAAAACAATTCAAGAACCGAGAATAGACAAATATTTAGAAAGAAAAATTTGAGAATTGGAAAGCAGAAATTTAGGAAAAATTGATTAGATAAGTAGACTTAAGTATCTTTTGAATTTTCATTGTTTGGAGACACCCCATCTTAAGACAATGACTAGTGTGTCGTCGAAAGAACGTCCAATTTTGGACCACTTTGGTCTCATACTTCAAACAAGATTTTCTAAAAAACCGTAAATGCTAGCGGTTTCAGCGAACCACCGTTTTGAAGCTTTTATTGACAGCTACCATTAAAAATAATTTTGTCCCGGTAACGCTTTTGATTACCGAGATATTTAGGTTTGAAATTTGCAAATTAAAATTCAAACGAGGTACTTACCCTTAGGAAAAAGTACCAAAAACTGAAAATTTTTATTTTTGGATTTTTCTAAATTCTTACTTTTTAAATCGATAGAGCGAGTAATTTGTGAAGTTTTCGGGGATATTGAGCTTCAAAGTTGAAATTTAGTCGACATTTTGTCCAAAACTTCAATTTCGATTTTGTCGAAAACCCCAAACGATAGAGAGTTCAGTAAAGTAGAGTATTACTATACTACCCAAAACGAAATAAGGACCAGTTTTCAGTTTTGAGAGCACCTTGGTTTCTATTAAATTTTGAATAACCCTGGTAAAGTGACTATTTCCATTTACAATATAGATAAACAAATAAAGTGTGCACAAAAAATTTATATTGTTAATGGAAATAAACACTTTACCAGGGTTATTCAAAATTCAATAAAAACAAAGGTGTTTTAAAAAGTGGTCCTTATAACACCAATATCTCGAAAACTAATCGTACGATTTAGGATTTTGCTATAAGACTATAAAGGGAAAGCAACGAGCTATCCAACGATGTACAACACAAGGTTGATTCTTATTTGAAAAAAATACGTTAGGGTAGCTACCCTCTAAGGGAGGAGGCAGGATGACTCAAAAAGTGCTCCATTTTGGGTCCCTTTCCAATCCCACGATATGTATTTGAGATCTTCCTGATAGTATTTTGTCACCCTGTATGTCCCACGTGGATTGAATGGAAACAGTTAGGTCTGATGCGGCATGCAATGTGTTAAGACAGCTTTGGCCTCACAGCTTCGTTAATTTTCCTCCGATTTCGATGTAATTAAGCTCTCATTAAAGCCAATTGAATTAACTACAAACCTATTGATTGAGATTTTAAACTTCTATTTCTCATTTTAGATTGATAACCGACTCCTAAACCAAGAAATGCTCCAGCACAGAGTCTCCGGTTACTACACCTCGAGCCAAAGCTCGATGGCATCGCAACTACCCCCTAAACCTTCACAACAACCAAATCAAGGCGCCTTTTTCGACAAGTACGGGACCTGCATTCAAAATTTACGGAAACAAAGCGACCGGCAGCTGATCAAGTGCGTCCAGGACAATTCCAAGTCTCAAAGTAGCTACTTCATCAAGCCGCCGCTGAGCCGTTGGACTTTGTTTTTCAAAGACCAAATTATGGAGCAAGATTATCGGGCTAATGTGCATCGAATAGTGCCCAAAATCGACACGATTGATACGTTGGCGAATTCGCGGTTTAATACTTGGGTTGATGTTTTGGTGTCGATTTTTACTTTTTTGATTGTTTCCGTTTCGCTGGCTATTGTTTATGGTGTAAACGTTATGTGGCTGGTGACGTTTTTTGTGGCGTCATTTTTGCAGGTTTTGAATTTAGGTTTATGCGTTGTACCTATAGTACGTTGGTTGGACAAGTTGTGTTGTTTTTTTGGTAGGTTTTACCGTTGGAATTTGTTTGGGGGCATTCTAATATCGCTACCGTTGATTTTAGCTTTGATTAATATAATTAATTACGACTATAATCATTTGGAAGTTTACCCGATTTTTGTTGGTTTGGTGCACTTTTGTAATTTTACCCAATTGAATTGCTGGATGAAAAGCTCCCTGGCTACAATAATTAGTTTGATTTTCATTGTACATCAACCTCTAGATATTGTTGTGAATTTTTTATCGATTCTAATTTTGGTTTGGTTGTTGAACCGAGAATTTGAAATAGGCTATAGGTTGAGCTTTCACACAAACTATATAGCTAGTCGTGACAAGAGCCGGGTACAATACCTAAAAAATCAAGCCGATTATTTGATTTACAATATAGTACCTGAGCATGTTGCTGAGCAACTCAAAAAGGAAGCCAAATATTCTGAAAACTTCAAAAACGTTGCCATAATTTTTGCCAGCATTGTAAACTTTAATGAAATGTATGATGAAAGTTTCGAAGGTGGCAAAGAGTTTTTGAGAGTCCTCAACGAGCTTATTGGAGACTTTGACGAGCTCCTAGACAAGCCAGAGTTTAATTGTATAGAGAAAATTAAAACTATTGGTTCAACTTTTATGGCTGCTAGTGGCCTCAATTCATCCAAGCGTTCTCAGCAGCAAGACCCAAACGAACATTTATACACTCTAATGAATTTCGCCATTGCGATGCAACAAGTTGTAGAAATTTTCAACCAGGATCTCCTAGAATTTAACCTGATAATTCGCATTGGGTACAATTTTGGAGACGTAACAGCTGCAGTTATTGGTAATACAAAACTGTATTACGACATTTGGGGGGATGCTGTCAATATTGCTTCGCGCATGGACAGTACAGGAGTTAATGGCAGGATTCAAGTTGGAGAAAATTGTTTGAATATCTTGGAGAATCGGTTCGAGTTTGAGCATAGAGGGTCGGTGTATGTTAAAGGTAAGGATAATATGGATGTTTATTTGTTGAAGGGGCGTAAGGAGAGTTAGTCGAATTTTTTGTTGATTTTTTTTTTTGTGGAAATTTTATTGTTTGTTCGATGGTATTTTTAAGAGGTTTTATTGTTTTGATGATGACATTGTTTTACCTTTTTTGCTCATAGATTTAAGTAGTTGCTTTTTTATGCTAGTTCTCCCCAAAACTTGCAAAAATTAACGTCACTTCTGGACCCTGGCAAGATTTTCTAATTTATGGTGTTAGTTTTGACCAAATAAAGTCAATCAAGGGATATAATATTCACTCAGTTTTGTATTATGTAAAGATAAAATTTTTAAAAGTCGTAATTACGTTTACACCATAAAAACAAAATTATTGACCATTTTACATCGATATTAAGACCATAAACTGTGATAATACCTATATAATTTTTGTGTATCACCAAAGAAACTTCTATTTATGTTGTGCTTTTTACTTCTCTCCTACACTGGTAGTTGAAAAAAAAAACATTTATTATTTTCTTTTAGGATAACTCTGTGATAAGTTTGTTTTGTTGCATTTTTATTTTGATATTAATTTAGCTGAATAATATGATGGTAGCTTTAACCGGCTTGTTCCTAATATATATGAAAAAATAAAAATTATTTATATAAACTATTGTAATATTTAGAGGGTCCAAACTGATATGTAATAAAACAATTTTTTATATTTATTATAAATGTTTAATAATAATTGTAATAGAGAAACTCGAGTGATTTTATTTAAATTTTTAGTGCAATATCAGTTTGTTCAATTTGTTACCGATTTATTATTTATTGTACATAATTATTTTGTGGATTGTTTTAACATACAAAAACCCGTCCTTTAATAAAAAAAAATATTTTATTGAATTAACAATTATCTAAGGGTTTTTGTTTTATTTATCCATAAAAACGCATCTTTTTCGTTGTTCATAATTGAGCACAATATATTAAAAAAATTATTGCTTAATCTAATAAAGCGTGTCTAATACTAATTTTCAAATAAATGTATACAGCACCTTGATTCCAAACCTATTAGAAGAGCTAGAAGTAAACTTAGTCAATTTGGAGAGTGTTACATTATTAGAGAAATTGACCAAGTTTACAATAAAATAATATCAAAAGATCCACACCTATATCACAGCAATTAATTTGGGTAAACTTTGTTTAAAGGAAAGATATATTAGCTATATTTCTTTCGCAAATTTTCTAAAATCTCACTCTGATAATAATCATGGTTTCCTTTAAACAAAATTTGAGCCAATAATAATTAAAAATGCCTACTTACTTAAGTAATGTACAAATTGCTACTTACGTCATCCATAATCTACAGATCTATTTTTACACCTCCAAACCTGGTACAGTACCAAAAATTTTAGGCGTTTCAGTTCTGGTATGCCACACGTAAACTTTGGTGCACAAATCGGCCAAAGCCTCCAGATCCTCTTTCGTGGTGAAATAACCTAAAAACTCGCTTTCCTGCAAACCTTTGGCCATTTCGTAGGAAAAATTGGCTTCTTTTTTCGTTAGGATTAGGTCCAAGTTGATGGCGAATCCTGCCATATCGATGGCGAATGGACGGTTAGGTAACCAACCGCTTTTATAACCAGTTACTTTACCTGAAACAATCAAGGTTTTAGAATACAGGTTTGTTTGGACTTAGTTTAGAATCAGTTCTGATTTGAACTGCGCTTACGCATTTGTTCATATCGAACATAAATAAACAAATGCGCATGCGCAGCTCAATTCAGAACTGATTCTGAACTAAGTCTGAACAAACCTATTATTTTTATTGTTAGTGGTTTCTAGAAATACAGATTTTGAAATAGATTTGGCAATATCTCCATTTTGGTTCATCTTTTATTTTTTTTTATAGAGTAGTACTTAAAGGATGCAAATAGGTTGCCATGTTTTATGCCTCATATCAATCAAATCAAGGGGTAAACCACCATCCCAGAATTTGTGCAAACAATTCCTCAAAGGGGAATTTTTCACGCGTAATTCCTCAAAATTCCTGCAAATTCCTCAAAATTCCCCACAGATTCCTCCAGATACCCCATCACAAATTCCTCGAAATACTCCACCACAAATTTTTCCAAATACCCCACAAATTCTTTTAAATTCCCTGCAAATTCCTCCAAATTTCCGCAAATTCCTCCAAACTCGTCTCAAATTTCTCACAAATGTCTCTTACAAATTCCCTAAAAATCCCCATAATTGCTCGTGATATAAGAAATTTATTTTTTCCATTTTTATTTCACTCAGCTAAAATACAAGAGCAGTTTATCAAGTAGGATCTTGAAACTTTTTGCATGTAAAGAGGAAGGTGAGAAGCTCATTTTTCCAAAATTTCAAATTTTTCCAGTGGAAAATAACAACATGCAGAATCTTGGAAATCAACCTGTCAAAAACTGAATTAGTTGATAATACCGTCTCACACATTTCAAATTTTTCCTGGAAAATTATTGAAAGGAAAAATTTGAAAATTTTTGCAAGAAAAGAGGAAAATTAGAAGCTCATTTTGCCAAAATATCAAATTTTTCAAGTAGATAATAACAACATGAGGAATCTTGGAAATCAACCTACAACTCGACCTACAATAGCTGAATTAATCAAAAATTTTATCTCACACAATTCAAAGTTTTCTTAAAAAAACTAGTGAAGGGAAAATTTTAAAACTTTTCGCATGTAAATAGGAAGGGGAAAAGCTCATTTTTCCAAAATTTCAAATTTTTCTAGTGGAAAATAACAACATGAAAAATCTTGAAAATCACCTTACAAAAACTGAAATAATTGTTAATACAGTCTCACACAATTCAAAATTTTCCTGGAAAACTAATTAAGGGAAAATTTTGAAACTTTCTACATGTGAAGAGGAAGGTCAGAGGCTCATTTTCCCAAAATTTCAAATTTTTCCAGTGAAAAATAACAACATGAAGAATCTTGGAAATCAACCTCCAATAACTGAAATAATTGAAAATACAGTCTTACACATTTCAAAGTTTTCTTGGAAAACTAGTGAATAATAAAAAGGTTAAAGGCCTATTTTCCCAAAATTTCAAATTTTTCCAGTAGAAAATAACAAAATGAGGAATATTGGAAATCAACCTACAATAACTGAATTAATTGAAAATACAATCTCACCTCGAGTCTCACACATTTCCCGGAAAACTAGTGAAGGCAAAATTTTGAAATTTTTGCATGTAAAGAGAAAGGGGAGAAGCTCATTTTCTCAAAATTTCAAATTTTGCCAATGGAAAATAACAACATGAAAAATTTTGGAAATAAACTTACAAAAACTTAAATAATTATTAATACAGTCTCACACAATTCCAAGTTTTTCTGGAAAACCGAGTGGAAAACTAATTTAGGGAAAATTTTGAAACTTTTTACAGGTGAAGAGGAATGTCACAGACTGATTTTCCCAAAATTTCAAATTTTTCCAGTGGAAAATAACAACATGAAGAATCTTGGAAATCAACCTCCAATAACTAAATTAATTGATAATATAGTCTCGCACATTTCAAAGTTTTCCTGGAAAACTAGTGAAGGCAAAAATTTGAAACTTCTTGCATGTGAAGAGTAGAAAGGTTTAAGGCTCATTTCCCCAAAATTTCAAGTTTTTCCCGTAGACAATAACAACATGAGGAATATTAAAAATCAACCTACAATAACTGAATTAATCAAAAATACAGTCTCACACATTTCAAAGTTTTCCTGGAAAACTAGTGAAGAGAAAATTTTGAAATGTTTGCATGTAAAGAGCAAGGGGAGAAGCTCATTTTCTCAAAATTTCAAATATTTCCAATAGAAAATAACAACATGAAAAATTTTGGAAATAAACTTACAAAAACTGAAATATGTAACTATTAATACAGTCTCAGACAATAGGCTCGTTCAGTGAAGTTTCATTAACCACGTTTTTTGATCTAGTACACACAAAAAAATTCAGCTCAATTGGATAAATATTAAAAAAGTTATGCGGCTTTGAATATTAAAACATTGGCCACTTGCACCAACATTTTAAGACTAACTTAAGTCGGACTTATCTTTTAGCCGAGATTTAACTCCAAATTTTAGTTGCACCAGCAGTCGAGCTAGACTTAAAGTAGCCTTAAATTGAATTTTCTTAAGTCGCCAAAATCCAGGCCTTAAATTCGACTTAACATAATATAAAGGTGGGTTCTAACAGAAAATTGAATCTAACTTTACATTTAAACTAACTTAAGAAGTTCGGAATATGCAGGCTAACGATGGCGTTCATACAGCTCCACTTAAGATTAATTAAATTAATTTTTTTGTTAGAACCCATTAAGGGCCGGTTTCTCAATAGCGAGTCACCTCCAGTGGTTTTAACTCCAGGGTAAGCGTGTCGAGTTGCTATGTTTACCCTGGAGTTATGCTTAACCCGGGGGGTGACTCGCTATTGAGAAACCGGCCCTAAGCTGGGTCCTAACAAAAAATTTAACCCGTAATAACCTATAAATTTCTTATATATCGTATTTTGTTTCTGTAAATCCTCTTTTTGATTCTTATAATACTGTTTCAAAGAATCCAAACTTCTCTCTCTCATGCCCGGTGAAGCAGCATTGAAATTCCTGCATACATTCTCCCAGGCCTCGTTTTTTTCATGAATGGATAGAGCATCAGTTTTTTTATTTTCAATAATATTTTTAAGTCTTGCCACTATATTAATTAGGGCCTCTTTTTATGCTAATGTAAAATTCGCGCCCCTCTGCTTTTTAGAATTTGGTTCTTCCATTGCTCAAACTCTCAATCAGAAACACCCAAACACCGAAAAACCACAAAATCATACCTATGATGTATCATTTTCTGTTATTTTAACAGCAGCGTTAAGTTATCTGTCACTGAAATAGATGTTGAGCCTTAGCACAGCCGTTAAAATAACAGGACAGGATACATCACAGGCCTGAATACTAAAGTCTATTTGTCAACTTTTGTCACACTTCTGTCTGTTTACTGAACATTTCGCAACGTTGCCATCATCAAAAATGATTGAGTTCGACTTTGCCAAGTCAGCATAATTTGTCTATGGTGCAAGTAAATTAAATTAAAGGCTAACTTAAAATTAAGACCTGACTTAGCTAAGACCAATTTAAGGTGCGGTTGGTGCAAGTGGGCATATGCCTCAGAAATTCATCGCTGAGAGATGCTATTACGTCATCTCTCGAGTCAAGACGGGTTAAAGGCCGTCACACGACCAACGTGAGAGATGCAGTGACGTCACCGTGTGTTTCAAAACTTTCAAATTTGGATCGTTTTGATAATTTATTTAAATATGAACAAGGGCTCAGAAAATTATGAAATTTTGCACAACTGTTAAACTCAATACGATCTTTTAGAATATGTAATAAAAAAAATATGCTGTACGAGCCTATTAAGTTTTCCTGGAAAACTAATTAAGGGAAAATTTTGAAACTTTTTACAGGTGAAGAGGAATGTCAGGGACTGATTTTCACAAAATTTCAAATTTTCCAAATCAACCTCCAATACTTAATTGAATTAATTGAAAATACAGTCTCACACATTTCAAAGTTTTCCTGGAAAACTAGTGAAGCCAAAAATTTGAAACTTCTTGCATGTGAAGAGTAGAAAGGTTTAAGGCTCATTTCCCCAAAATTTCAAGTTTTTTCAGTAGAAAATAACAACATGAGGAATATTAAAAATCACCCTACAATAACTGAATTAATCAAAAATACAGTATCACACATTTCAAAGTTTTTTTGAAAAACTAGTGAAGGGAAAATTTTGAAATGTTTGCATGTAAAGAGAAAGGGGAGAAGTTCATTTTCTCAAAATTTCAAATTTTTCCAATAGAAAATAACAACATGAAAAATTTTGGAAATAAACTTACAAAAACTGAAATATGTAACTATTAATACAGTCTCAAACAATTCCAAGTTTTCCTGGAAAACTAATTAAGGGAAAATTTTGAAACTTTTTACAGGTGAAGAGGAATGTCAGAGACTGATTTACCCAAAATTTCAAATTTTCCAAATCAACCTCCAATAATTGAATTAATTGAAAATACAGTCTCACACATTTTAAAGTTTTCCTGGAAAACTAGTGAAGGCAAAAATTTGAAACTTCTTGCATGTGAAGAGTAGAAAAGTTTAAGGCTCATTTTTCCAAAATTTCAAGTTTTTCCAGTAGAAAATAAAAACATGAGGAATATTAAAAATCAACCTACAATAACTGAATTAATCAAAAATACAGTCTCACACATTTCAAAGTTTTCCTGGAAAACTAGTGAAGAGAAAATTTTGAAATGTTTGCATGTAAAGAGAAAGGGGAGAAGCTCATTTTCTCAAAATTTCAAATTTTTCCAATGGAAAATAACAACATGAAAAATTTTGGAAATAAACTTACAAAAACTGAAATAATTATTAAGTAATACAGTCTTACACAATTCCAAGTTTTCCTGGAAAACTAGTTATTGGAAAATTTTGAAACTTTTCACAGGTGAAGAGTAATGTCAGAGACTGATTTTCCCAAAATTTCAAATTTTTCCAGTGGATAATAACAACATGAAGAATCTTGAAAATCAATCTCTAATAACTGAATTAATTGAAAATACAGTCTCACACATTTCAAAGTTTTCCTGGAAAACTAGTGAAGGCAAAAATTTGAAACTTCTTGCAGAGTAGAAAGGTTTAAGGCCCATTTTCCCAAAATTTCAAGTTTTTCCAGTAGAAAATAACAACATGAGGAATATTAAAAATCACCCTACAATAACTGAATTAATCAAAAATACAGTATCACACATTTCAAAGTTTTTTTGAAAAACTAGTGAAGGGAAAATTTTGAAATGTTTGCATGTAAAGAGAAAGGGGAGAAGTTCATTTTCTCAAAATTTCAAATTTTTCCAATAGAAAATAACAACATGAAAAATTTTGGAAATAAACTTACAAAAACTGAAATATGTAACTATTAATACAGTCTCAAACAATTCCAAGTTTTCCTGGAAAACTAATTAAGGGAAAATTTTGAAACTTTTTACAGGTGAAGAGGAATGTCAGAGACTGATTTACCCAAAATTTCAAATTTTCCAAATCAACCTCCAATAATTGAATTAATTGAAAATACAGTCTCATACATTTCAAAGTTTTCCTGGAAAACTAGTGAAGGCAAAAATTTGAAACTTCTTGCATGTGAAGAGTAGAAAAGTTTAAGGCTCATTTTTCCAAAATTTCAAGTTTTTCCAGTAGAAAATAAAAACATGAGGAATATTAAAAATCAACCTACAATAACTGAATTAATCAAAAATACAGTCTCACACATTTCAAAGTTTTCCTGGAAAACTAGTGAAGAGAAAATTTTGAAATGTTTGCATGTAAAGAGAAAGGGGAGAAGCTCATTTTCTCAAAATTTCAAATTTTTCCAATGGAAAATAACAACATGAAAAATTTTGGAAATAAACTTACAAAAACTGAAATAATTATTAAGTAATACAGTCTTACACAATTCCAAGTTTTCCTGGAAAACTAGTTATTGGAAAATTTTGAAACTTTTCACAGGTGAAGAGTAATGTCAGAGACTGATTTTCCCAAAATTTCAAATTTTTCCAGTGGATAATAACAACATGAAGAATCTTGAAAATCAATCTCTAATAACTGAATTAATTGAAAATACAGTCTCACACATTTCAAAGTTTTCCTGGAAAACTAGTGAAGGCAAAAATTTGAAACTTCTTGCAGAGTAGAAAGGTTTAAGGCCCATTTTCCCAAAATTTCAAGTTTTTCCAGTAGAAAATAACAACATGAGGAATATTAAAAATCAACCTACAATAACTGAATTAATCAAAAATACAGTCTCACACATTTCAAAGTTTTCCTGGAAAACTAGTAGAGGAAAAATTTTGAAACTTTTTGCATGTGAAGATGAAGGTGAGAAGCTTATTTTTCCAAAATTTTAAATTTTTTCAGTTGAAAATAACATGAAAAATCTTGGATATCAACTTACAAAAACTGAATTAATTGAAAATACCGTCTCACACATTTCAAAGTTTTCCTGGAACACTACACCTTTTTCAATTGTAATTCAGAAAATAAAACTTTAATTTCAGAGAAGGGAACATGTATTTCAGAATAGGAACTTATAATTCAGAAAAGAGAAATTGAATTTGAGAATTGTAACTTTAATTTCAGAATAGGGAAAATGAAATTCAGATTAGGAAGTTGAAATTCAGAAAAGCAATATTGTAATTCAGAATAGTAAATTGAAATTCAGAAACTGTAAATTATAATTTAGAAAAGAGAAATTGTATTTCAGAAGGTGAAAATCTCGGTGAAAATTTAATTTCAGATAATGGAATTTGTAATTCAGAAAAGTATAATATGCACCTCACGATAAGCTATGGACAGAGATACAGAGCAGAGCACAGGTACATACAGATAGTGAGAAAACCACCCAACACTCAACCACCTTCCATGCCGTGGCGCTAGCATTAAAGGATATGCCAGTTGGTCAGTAACTGAAATTTTGAATTGCATTTGAGGAAATTATGTTATCAACATACTTTTTGGTAATTTTTTTAGAGGTATGTTATTATCTGCTTATGTATAGGTAACTGAATAAAAATTGAATTTTTATGAATACGATTTTTGTATTTGGATTCGCAAAGAACATTTTTATGTAAAACTGTACAAATGATAATTTAATAAACGCAAGTAGCAGTCCCGTGTTCAGCGACACAAGATTAAAAGTTGAAAAAAAAAACACTCATAGATATTTCATGATTCTGAATTACATTTTCCTATTTCTGATTTTCAAAATTGCATATCTGAATTACAATTTACATTTTCTGGAATTAAATTTCCCCTTTCTGAATCACATATTCCTATTCTGAATTACAAATTCCCATTTCTGAATATTATGTTCCTTTTCTGAATTTCAAATTCCATATTCTGAATAATAACTTCCTATTCTGAGTTACATTTTCCATTTTCTGAAACTTAATTTCCCTTTCTCAAATACATTTTCCGCTTTCTGAATTACAATTGGAAAAGGTGTAGTGAACGGAAAAATTTGAAACTTTTTGTATGTGGAGTGGAAGGTGAGAAGCTCATTTTCCCAAAATTTCAAATTTTTTCAGTGGAAAATAACAGCATGAAGAATCTTGGAAATCAGCCTACAAAAACTGTACTCATTATTGTTTTGAATTTTTTTAAAATTTGGACCTGTAAGCATGAAGTGAAATTTTGAGAGAATATTTTTAATGAAAATGAATGTCCAACGTTCAACTCAAAATTAGATTTTTTTTTAAAATTTCCATCTATTAATGTTTCTTATAATAAGAATGTGAACCTCAGTGACATCATGATTCTACATTTTCCTTTAAATTCCTCATAAATTCCTCACAAATTCCTCCAAATTCCCCATAAATTTCTCCAAATTCCCTATAAATTCCCCCAATTCTCGTAAATTCCGATTAATTCCTTCAAATTCCCCACAAATTCCTCTAAATTCCCTATATTTTTGGCAAAGAATTCCTAGGTGGTTTGCCCCTTGAATCAAATTGGAGAAGAGTACGAGAGCAAACAGCTGTCGCGGTTGCCATAGGTGAAAGGTTTGATGTGCTGTTGGCATAGTTGTGACTGAAAAATACTCTGAATTTTTCAAAAGCAGAATGTAGAAATTTCTGCTGAATTCGCGGCTGAATTGCTTTATCTAATTATACACATTTAAACAGCCCATATTTCAATTCGACGCAATCATGTTTAAGAATGATGTACTAATAAGGAGCTCAGCATCCTTTCATTTTTTATTGATTTTAGGGACTCCGACGTCACAGTCTTAGCCAGGCGCGTTTTGGCAGCAGTTTAAAAATTTGTTTTTGCTGGGAAATCAGAATGAGTAACTAATATAATACATAATGTTTTTGGATCTTGAAATTCCATTCGCGAATTTTCAAGTGATCAACCAGTGTTACAAGATTGTGCATAATATCCCTGACTCACAAGAATATTATTTTAACAAAAATTCCAATAAGTTTCCATTATAACCTGGGCTCCTAGCCTTGAAAAAACATCTTTCTCTTTTACACTCTGTAGATAGTAAATAGGACTACATATAGTCATGATCAAAATTCTTCTTGATCTTCTTTTCTTTACATTTGATACCCAAAAATTTGCTTACCAGTTTCTGAATGTACGATGGGAATTTCAGCATTGAGGCCCCCAACAAGTCCCACAGGCCATACACCAACTTTTTTCACTTTTGCAATTTCATCAAACAATTTAATACTGTAAGTGTTATCGTCGTCCATGAAATAAACAACTCCTTTGTCTTTGCCCAAAGTCAGATTGTCACGTAGCCATTTCAGGGCTGCGTTCCTTTGCTCTACCCCTCTATGTCTTCTTGCTTTGGGATTCTAAATAAAACTATTACAAGATTCTAGAGTTTAGATTGAAAATTCTTACCTTGTCTTTAAGTTTTTCAAATGGTGCAGTTTGCGCTACTAAATGAGTTGCTATCAGCTTGGATTCAGCAATAAGATTTCTGACTAAATTACTTTTTTCTAGGGCATCTTCGATCACAATCCAATGGACATTTGGAACTAATTTGAGGGTTTGTGATATTCTAGTTAGCTCAGCTTTTTGCACGTAACGCCAATAAGTAGGTGTTATACAATAGATTATGGGAAACTTCCGATTGCGGTCAGATTCCAATTGTTCGAGCAACAAAGCTTGTTGTTCCGACAAGTGTAGTTTGTCTTTGTGAAGCTCTAGGGCTTCTTTGAACATTTGTAACTTGTCTATGCCTTAAGGGAAAAGTTAATTTGGTGGTTTTTTTGGGAGAAGGGGACGACTTACCTGATTCAATTACTGCAAGTTTCCACAGCACAATTAAGCCTAAAAATAGTAGCAGGTAAAAACTCAGTTTTCTTTTTTGCATTTTTTGATTGAAATTTTGAGCACGATCCATTAAATTTGATATTTAGTTGGGTTTATTTGTAAATAGAAATTAAAATAATTAAGTGAGGTTATGTCATGTTTGACAAATCTAAAATCTAGGCGAACAGGGTTGCCATATATCGTTTTTGGCGTTTGCAACGTTGCTCTGAAGATTGTTTTTTTAAATTATTTATTATAAATCTTAAGTTAATTATTTAATTACCTGCTCCCATGCTCCATAATAGAATAAACAGTAATCCGTAAATTACGTCTGAATTCTTTTCACTGTAAATTGGACTGAAATTTCCAAAAACTTTCAACCAATTCATTTTTTTTTGTTTTTGTTAAGGTTTATTGATTAGCAAAAATGTAAAGTGTTTTTATTGTTACATTCAGCTTTTATCTAGGTATATCTGGATTATTTCTTTATTTATTTCACGATAAGATAAAAGTCCTTTTATCGAGGAAATTTTGGTGTCGCCATCTAGTGAGTTCAAGGTGTTTCAAATATGTAAACATATCAACATAACCTCAAAAAACATTTTCCAGCTAAAAATAGTTTTAAAGTGAAAATTACCTCTAAAATAGTAACAAGTATGCCTTATCCAACATCCCCCTTCGAAGAAACCTTCAATCAAAACCTCATAACAGGCCTAAAAGACTCAATTTCCTCAATAAACCCCGAAGACACGTTAAAATGGCTTTGCACTGCCCCAACACTGACCTCCTATCGGGTAAACACTTCAAAAACTTCACAGGAAAATGTTTACGCTGCAATTCAAACAAAACTTTCCAATAAATTCGATTCTTCAAAGCTAAATGAAGATATTATTTTAATCAAACACAATCCAGTTGACAAAGAATTGGAAAAACATCCAAAAGAAGTGATAGTAGATGTGGATTGTGCCGCAGCAGTTCTACGTGGTGCCCACATATACGCGCCAGGAGTTTTAGGCATGACACCCTCAAATAAAGGCGATAGAGTGAGTATTTACGCAGACCTAAACAAAAAATGCCTTAGAGGCCTAATAAAACCATTTACAAACCTTAAACTATTTATTGCTAACGGCATAGTCCAACAAAACAGGCAAGAAATTTTCCAATCCACACCCAAAGGCCTTGCAATAGAAATTAGCGAAACAATATCTGGTTGTCCTATATTGCCAGATAATTTTTTACCCAATGGTTGGGCCTTGTTACAAAACATCCCTTCGATTTTTTGTGTCAAAGCACTCAATCCACAACCCAATGAAGTTGTTTTGGACATGTGCGCAGCTCCGGGCAATAAAACCACTCATATAGCCGCCTTAATGCAAAATCAGGGCTTACTTATTGCATTGGATAAAACACCAAATAAAGTGAAGCAATTGATGAAAACTTGCGAGGATTTTGGGGCCAAGGCTTTAGTGTTTCAAGCCAACTCTTGCCATATTGTCAGTAGTAGTGATTTGCAGGCAATTGAAAATGGGCCTCCGTTTGCACCAAAAACTTTCGATAGGATTTTATTGGATGCTCCTTGTAGTGTCTTAGGCAAACGGCCTCAATTTACTAATAAAACCTCAGAAAAAATCATAAAATCCTTTATTCCCTTGCAAAGAAAACTCTTCACAAATGCCGTAGCATTGCTAAAGCCACAAGGAACGTTGGTTTACAGCACTTGTACTATAACGCTGGCTGAAAATGAGGGTCTTGTCGCGTGGGCCTTGAGGAGTTTCCAGGATTTGAGTTTGGTGGGATCTGGAGGGGATAATCCTGGATGGCCGGGAGCTGGTTTAACTGAGGAACAAAGGAATATGGTGCAAAGATTTGGACCCGGACAGACGTACGATAGTGTTGGATTTTTTGTTGCTTGTTTTGTTAAAAATAAATGATTTTTGGTAAAAATTGTTTCTTTTTAATCCTTGAGCTAATTTAATAAGCAGTAAACTTTATGAATCCGACAGTGACAAGCCTTAAGTGGAAATGGGTTGGATATGTAACGAGACAGAACGCAAACAGGTGGTTGCACATAATTACAAAATGGAGACTGCGTCAGACGAGAAAAGGAATAAGCAGTAACACAATTAAGATGAACAGACGACTTTATTAAGATAGCTGGAAAGAAGTAGATGAGGATATGGCGCAAGACAGAGAAACATGGAAAAGTATGGGAGAGGCCCTATATTCAGCACTGGATGAGTGATGGCTGAGAAAAAAGAAAATCTTGAAAGGATCCAAGTAGATTCGCATTTTGAACAGTTGAATTATTTGCAGGATTGACAGAAGTCCTCGAAATTAATTGCGAATGCTGTAGATTTGCAATCAGTAATTTTATAATTGCATAATATTCTGAATTCAATGAGAAGTAGTTACAAAGAGTTATTTTAATCACGGAGGAATTTGTATTTGCATGAATAGACGGTCGAGATGGGCGTTTTAAAACGATTGTTCGATTTTTGTCGAAATTTCTGCAGGATCTTGTTCGTTATCCGAGTCTGGAAGAAATTATTCACAAGGGAAGTTTAACATCCACAAGACTGGAAAACGGCTTTTATATCATCCATTCACAGAAAAGGAAATAAGCTGCACTGCAATAACTGTCCGGGCATATCAGTCACAAGCAGACTATACGGTAGAATCCTGCGTGATCTCATTGAAGAAAATTATAATGAGAAAGAAGAGCAGTGCGGTTTTAGAGCAGGAAGATCAGGTACAGACAACGTATTTTGCTTGAAACAAGTCATAGAAAAGAGATCCTAGACATTTGGAAAACCACCTTACATTTGTGGACCTACAAAAAGCATACGATACAGTCCCAGTATCCAGACTATGGAAGGTATTAGAACAATCCAACATCAATCACACCTATATTATAACGCTACTTTCATTAAGGAACTCAAAGTAAATAGAGGACTACGTCAAGGATGTTGTATCTCTCCTATGCTTTCCAAAATATATGTAGCAGTAGCACTGAAAAATTGGAAGAAAAAGATCCATATGATGGGACTAGAGTTAAATGATTAAGTGCCTGTTTACTCTTCAGTTTACAGATGATCAGGTCATAGTGGCCAGTGGCCAGTGACAAAGAGGACATGCAATTTATGATTGGAAAACTGATAGAAGAGTACCAAGAATGAGGCCTGAGAGTTTGATATAAATAAAATAAAATATCTATGTGTAGGCACTCAGAACGGAAACTTAAAGTGGATGATGGTCAGGAAACTCTGAAATGTCAAGAATATGAGTATCTATAAGGTATCACATTCGACATCACCGGAACAGACGTGAAAGAAATAAAAAAGCGAATAGGAAAAGGAAAAGGAAATAACAAAAAGTGGAAATGGATACTATTAGAAGATCCATGCGAATCTCACGAAGAGAGAGAATAAGGAACGACAATATGGAACAACAAATGTGAATAGAAGGCACGATAGTTCGCAGGACATTGAAAGGAAACAACTTACCTGGTACGGACCCTTAGAACGAATGCCAAATACTTTGTGGCCCAGAAAATGCTGGAAGACCAGAACTGGAATGGCAGAAGATCATACAAAAGTCCATTATTGAAAGAAATCTCTCATCAGAGGATTGCGACGATAGAAGAGGATGGAAATTAGATGTCAGACAACGAAGAAAGATGTTCTAAAACGACATAAGTTTAAATTGGGATAAGCTTTGAACAAAGTCATTTTGTTGTGAGATTCTGTTTTTATTAATTTTTAACTCATTTTTAAACACAAACGTAGAATGTTCATATAGTCTAGAGTCGAAAGTCTAACAGTAAACGGTCATCAGTCCATTTGCAATTTAATTGAGGATGAAGTACAGAAATCGCGAAAAGTATTAGAATTAGGCATTTGCTAGAAGTAATAAAAAGAAATCTATATCCACAAACAATTCAAATGAACACAATTTCATTTTTTGATGAGAAACTTCATACTCTGTTTATGAAACAGCAATGTCTATTTTAAACCAGTTTTGTACTTAATCCGGTAATCGAAAGTCGATGCTGTTATGCCATTTTCTCTGATATGTTGGCGAAAGCACAAATTACAAAACCATCCTAGATTAAAAAAAATATATTCCTCCGACGTTCCTATATTCAATAAATCACCAACTGATAATTGGTTTCCCCACACACAAAGTAATATAGTCGGATAAAGTAAAAATGTGTATTATTAGCCTGGCAAAGTGGGTACTATCAAACAAAAGCGCGTCTGGTGTAGTACCAGTCGAGCTTTTGTGCGCGCTTAGCAATATGGTACTTGATGGAATAACCGTTATTGTTTATTTATTTTGCTGTTAATTAGTACAGTTAATTGTTATACAATGAATCTGTGATACGACTGGTTTTATTAGTTTAGGTAAGAATTTCAAGTATTTTTCAAGGAGAACATTTTACATATGTATTTCCAAACAGCAGGATTACATCGCTTTTCTTATTACACATAAAGTGAAAATGAGTTTTCCTGAAATTTCTGCTGACATTGGCCTGAAATAATATATTCGTCGCACAATATAATAATATTGCGTTTAATTTAATGACCTTGTTGTTTCAATTTAAAAAAATATCTGTTTTTAAACAATTCAGCGTTTGACAATATTTAATTCATTTGGATGACCTCATCGGCATAATTAATTAGTTTGGGTCAGTGTTGGTTCACCGTGGGAAAAGTTTTTTAAAAATTATTTTGAAGCTACGACACCTTTACAGCGTCTACAACAATTGCCCTACAACCTCCTTAATTCCGAAAAATTCTTGTGTATGTTAATTTTTGCAGTTTATACCGTTTACATCTGACAATTTTTTTCTCTACATCTTCCTGTATAAAAGATAACATTTCCTTGACTTAAATATTTATAAAAATTATTAATCAAAATTGTTACAAATTATTTGTAAAAACAAACCAAATCATATTGAGATAAGGAAATAGAAAATCATTCTATGACCTGATGTTTCCTGGATTCGTTCGTACACTTTTATGGAAAATTCCCAGCTGGCTAGGGCACGTGCGCTAGAAAAATCGGGCGAGGATCGATAAAATCATCCCCCGTTCTCTGTCTGGGCCAGGCTCTACCCTTTTGCACCAGACAGAGACCAGTTCAGAATCTACGTTAGGTTAGATCAGTTGTTTCGCGTGCCGAAGAAAACGTGCCACCTCACTTGGTGAGATGTGTATGTATCCAACATATCTATCTACACATAATTTTTTAGTTATTTTGATTAGTAGCTTTAATAATGTCTCAAGGGCAAAATGTTCATGCTAAGGTATTTTTTCTTGAGGCAATTTGTTATCGATTTGGCCCTTTTCTTATCCTACATCCGGTGGTTGTACTTTTGGGCAAGTCGCTGACCTATAATGCATCAGATTCTTTTTTGCCTTGGGGTGCAGAGGGTGTAGATTTAAATATCGAATTGCCAGATTGTAGTTTAAAGTGTGTCTAATTTTTTGGGTTTATTTGAGAACAATAGTTAGTCAATTTTCAGTGTAGATAATGTAGATTGGTAGATTCAAAATTTTATCACCAATTCAAGAATTAAGGGAGCAAATTTCAGTAGGTTCTAAAATTTGCAAACTACATAGGTACATAAAATTTGCAAAATGCAAATGCTGAAAAACTGGTCCTAAATATTTAATGATTTTTATAATTTTTGAATATATTAGTTAGTAGAGCTGGTAGAGCAGATCGAAGTTCGTCATTAACATCGTTTCCAAATTCCAATGAAATTCCTAGAAAATCTCATTTTAATAAAGGCCCGGCTACGTAATTTGAAAGATGTTTGAATTCTACTATAGAACCTTTTTTTTATCAACCAATATAGGTTCCATAAGGGTTCCATTTTATGGTCAACAAGAGCTATAATTTCTCAAAAAAATCAATATCCCTGTATAACGAATATCGAAATATTAATTTTTCAGAATTTTCAAATAAAAATCCAAAATGGGTACCCTCAAAAAAAAGTTCAATTTCCTTATTTTTTCTCAACAACTTTGACTGGTAGGTACCTACCAATCAATATAGAGCATCAGCTTTAACATCATTTCCTAATGACAGTTTTGGTTCTGGAAATTTCTTAAAACCCTGACAAAATTATGAATAATAACTCATGTATTCAATCATATTTGAGCAAATTAGCATGTAAAACCAATATCAGATTTAGCAATTTAATTTGCCTACTATCCATTAAAATGCTTCTGAATGAATGACTCTTCAAATAGGTTATTATTGCCTTACAGAAAATTCCCATTTTAACATGAATATCTATCGATTTTACTCTATGGGCTGAAGTTTGACCCAATTTACAGCGCTTCTTTTGAATAATTACTTTATTCCGAGAGCCAATTAGTGACGTAATTATTTCTAGATTGAGTAAATAGCGATTATTGTGTTTGCCAAAGTGCTTAAAATCTTATCGATTGAATTAATAAATCGTGGTAATTTTTTCAACAAGAAAGACGCAAATTTATTCGAGTATAGATTTGAAAATAGTTTAAATACAGGGTGTTACAAATTCGTGTGTACGCATCTTTGGATTTTCATCAAAAGATGCCGGTATAAACCCAGTCATATCGATTAAGTTGAAACAAAGCGCGATTTATGCTTAATCAAGTCAACTAAGAAATGGCATTCGCTAGCTTTGGGTGCGTTTACATCAGAATATTGAAATAATATAAAAATAAAAAAAAGTTTAATTTTCAATTCTTCCAAAGGAGGGTTGAAGCAACAGTTTGGTTTGATTAATTGAAAATGTTCAAATTTGACGGTCAATTGCTTAGAAAGTATTTGAGCTATCATATTCAATTTAGCACGGATTTATAGAGAATTTAATGCTCTTTTTGATGATGTATAATTTATTTTGATTTGCTCGAATTTTATTGAAAATATTGGCGATTTTGCTTAACCTTATCAGGATTTTTAAAAAACTTGAGATTTTCTTTTTTGATTTTTTGTTTCTATTCAAAATGGTGATTTAAAGATGGATGTTAGATTGTTTTTTGACTAATTTTGACCCGCTCTTTCGATTGGAAAAGTCAAAATTTGGAAAATATGAAAAATAAACATTTTTTTCAATAAGTTACCCCCTTTGGATTTTTATTTCCAAATCTTTAAGCTTCAATATCTTGAAATCCGTGAGAGATATTGAATCAAAATTTTCAGGAATTGTAGCTCCTATATCAAGCTCTAAAAAACATGAATTGGAAAATATTTTCAGGTTTATGGTTTTTGAGAAAATTGAGTTTGAAGTTTTTGATGATAAAATTCAACTTTGAGGCTCAATTGCTCAAAAAATACTTGAGTTATCGAACTCAATTTAGCACAGATTTATGGGGAATTTAATGCTCTTTCGAATAGTAATTAATTAATTTTTTCAAATTTTAATGGAAATATTGGCAATTTTTCTCAATAACCTTAATTTTTATGATTCAACAAGAAATCAGAACCAAAAAATTTAACTTTCTTTTCTCTTTAAATTAGTAATTTAAAATAAATAGAGACTATCTAATTATTAAGTACTTGCCATAAAATGATGAATATGACAAAGACAAATTTATGAAGAAAACAATGTGTTTAACAAAGATGAGTATTTATCTCCATTAAAATTAACATAATTTTTACCTTTTCGATTGAAATGTTCATTTTATCGATTGTTTTGATAAACCATTCCATCCAAGGAATCAAAAACTAACAAATAACCAAGGGGTCGACACCTCCTGACAGTAGGTGTACAAATCAGTTCACAGTACCTACAAATACCTAAACAATACCATCATAGGTTTGTGAAAATACCATGTATTTTCATAGCAATTGTCACAATACCTAAAATGACTCACAATACTTTCAAAATAGTTCTACAGTACAGTACTGACAATACTGGAACAATACCAAAAATCCGTCAAAAATACTTAACAGTATCTCTACAGTACTCACAATACTAGAAGAATACGTGTGAATCGGGTTACGAGCTTTTAAAAGCGTTGCACCACATGACAGGCCAAGTGGCACAGAGGTGCATGTAAAAATGTCATTTTAGGGAATAGGTACTTATCGTTAAGGCTCCCCTAAAATAGTTGATGGAAACGGCCATTGGCCAAACATAAAATTGGTACAAGTAATTTATGTTTTTTAAATTTGCCTAGTGTGAGTCAAGTTTAGCAACAAAAAGTCTCTTCTGAAAAACTTAGGTCAGACCAATGAACTATAGCTAAAAACTGGAATGCGCACACAATTGCCATATCTGCCAAAAAAATGAAGCCATGAAAGACAGATGCCACAAGGGGGAATGTTGTTTTTTTCTGTTGCTCGCTGACATATGACGTTTTCGAAAGTTTTGTCATATTTCCCTTCACAGGTTTCATCGATTGGAATACGTGTTGGAAGCAATTTTCGCCATTTAACATAATGAGTGCGACAAAAACAGGTATCCCCTCCGCAGCAGCCGCACTAGGCTTCACGTTCGTCCTTATGTGTTAGCATTCCAGTTTTTGGTTATAGTTCATTGGGTTAGACAGTTTCTGTCAACGTCAAAGCTGAACAAAAATAAATGCAACATGTTTTATGTTATGATTGGTTTAAATATGACACTGACTTGACTCTTTTTGTCATTGAGGTAATAAATAAGGTCGATCCACACAATACAACACAATAGGAAAATACGTATTAGTTTTATGATTGGCCAAGTATACATGTATTTATTTATGGTCAAATACACGGCTAATATTTCTGTTCGACACTTATATACAGTCGTGAGCATAAAAAGTGAAACACCCGACTGACAGGCCTTGTCATTTTTCGCTGTTTTGGGTAAATCAGTCTTTTCCCTGCAATGGATTTTTTGTCAAATATAACAATCCCTGTCATTGCCGTAGGTATAGCTGATGAACTAGTTTTACAATAGGAAAAAACGGGTGTCCCACTTTTTATGCTCACGACTGTATTTTTTTCTGTGCTACACTTTATTTTTTCCCAAGATAGATTTTGACATTGAAAACTTTGAAACATAAACAATAACGCTTGACCCTGATTGGTAGCAAAATGAGGTGTTTCTGCAGGTTGACATCAGTTTTACAATAGCGGCATTAGGGGAATTGTTTATGTTTCAAAGTTGACAATGCCAAAATCTATCTTGGAAAAAACTAAACCATAACTACATGTAGAAATACACGAAAAAATACACGAATATTTAAGAGGGGCTCTATTGTATATTATAAATACTTACAGTCGTGAGCATTAAAAGTGGGACATCCTATGTCAGTTAAAGGAATACTTATCGTTAAGGCTCTCCTAAAATAATTGGTGGAAACGGCCACAAGCTGTGATTTGATCGTGTTTTTCATTACTACCATATTACTACCAACTGCGCAACTGCTAATTCTTAACCTCACTTTTTAAAAAAATATATATTTTTATTGGAATTTGGGGAAAATCAAAAGGAAAATAAATTTATTATATATAGTTTGTTTCGAGGTTTGTTTTTAAAAAGTACTTGGATGGAATTTGGAATTGTGGGCGCTGTGGTTTGTTATAGGGAAATTAATAAAATAATGGATGCACGTCATCAAAATTTATGACGTTGGCACGACGCAATTCCATGTCTAGTAAAGTTTGTCATTTTACCAGGTTACATTTTTATTAATAAATAGGTTATTTAAATGTCATTACTACCGCTTGGATATGGGTTAACTATAGCTTAGACCGAGGGTTAGACAATGTTTTAATTTTTGATTTTGGCAAGGAAAGTTGATATTGAAATTTTCTGTATTGTATTTGCACCAGAAAATACCTAGCTAATCCCGTGAAGAAATTTATGAATAAATAATAAATACTTATTTTTATACATGTAGAAATACACGTAAAAATACACATATGTCAAACGTGAGGGGCGGCTCACTTCCGAAATCGCTGTACATTTTCATCCGAAATCCCGTGAAATCACTTGGAAATCCTTTGGAAATTCCGATATCCATTCAAAATCGTGAAAAGCGAAATCCCGAAATCTCAACCAAAATCCTTCAGAAATCCTGAAATCCCAATAAATTTAACTAAATCCTCGAAATCCTTAGTGGTACGGCGTTGAAATTCGAATATCCGCGAAATCTTTCGAAATCCCTTAAAAATTGTCGAAATACCCTGCAATTTTCCGAAGTCGATGTACAAATTGTTGAGAGTGAGCCA